GGCTCTGCAAATACAGACTTACCCAGGAAAGTCTTGACGCTGCACTTGAGCATACGGCACCACTGAATAACATGATCTACTCCCTCAGCAGGAAAAGGGCTGCCTGGATCAAGCTCTCGAACCTGCTCTATCACACGTTCAGGCCCATGGAAGGAGGCATCTGCCAGAGCCACCAGCTCTAGCCCTGCCACGCTCCAAGTGAGCAGTGCCCGGCGCATGGGTGTGTTGCCATAGAGTCGACGGGAGCGCTGGATGTAGATTTCGATGTTTTTATGTTCCAAAGAGGCATAGAGCTCCTCAATTTTGCGGGCTGGTAGTAACTCCCCATGCTGTTTGCGAAGGGCAGCCACTTTGGCATCCAGCAGCTGCAATCTTTTGGCACTCTCCTTACTTTCATCCTTCATCAGTTCATAATTATCTCGAAGTTTCACCTCAAAAATGTCATCCAGGAAAACCCATGAGAAGTGCTGAACTTTCAAAAGTAGGTCAGGTGGGAGTGGGGCAGGGCTTGGAGAGGCCTGAGCAGGAGTTCCTCCTCGATGGAGCCCCTTAAGCCATTTCTGAACTCCCACAGCCTCATCCAGAGTTTGAGAAAAATCATACTGATAAGGAAATTCCACGGAGACTGAGCCGAGGGAGAGGAGCCAAACACGGTTCCGGAGGGTCTGCAGCATAGGCAAGGGGTTCCGGTGGAGGATCATCTCCTCTAGCTCAGGTAGCAGCTGCACCTCCACCTCCTTGAAGTTGAAAATGCTATTGCCATCAAAGCCAGCAGCCAGCTCTGGGCAGTAAGCCTGAAATGAACCTCCATGCCGACTCAGTGACACACTTTCTGCAGCCAGAGTAATGAACTTGTCTTCGGCTACAAAAGCAGTCAGCTTGGCTGTGTTCACCTCTAGTGTCAGGTTTAGCAGCCGCTTTGAGGGAGATGTTTCGGGAGGTGGGCATTCTCGCTCAGAAGTGGGCCCTGGAGTCTCTAGTGGAAGGAGTGGAACAGTCTCAGGAAAGAGAGTGGCTCTCAGTAAGTCTCGGCACTGCAGGGTGGCCAGGATATGCTGGTACAGGTACATGTGATCTGGGGGGCTCCAGAGTAACGTAAGCCCTGCACCACACTGAACCTTCAGGAAGCAAGAGAAAAGGATCTGTCAATTACCATGTCCCAGAACAGAAGGTAAGACAGAGGTTATTATACATGCATATATGACCCAAGGACCATCTCCAACTAGAAGTCTTTCCTGAGTAACCACATGAATTAGTCCCTTGCCGTGTTCTTAGCACCAAGAGCACTTAAGAGCACTCACACCAAAGTTCTCCTCAACTGGATTCTAAGCTGCCTGAGAGTAGGGGCCATGTGTTTTAATTATTTGGCACCTACCAAAGTATATCCAGTATATACAGCACATACTCATTAAACCATTGACTTTATGTTTCTGCTCATAAGTTATCTTTCAATAACCGCCACACTATATCATAACCACTGCAACAATCAATCTGAAAATGTTTCATGCACATTTTTACTAAATTCTAGTATAAAAGTAATGAACACATAAATCAATACAGCAAACTGACTTATGTGAAAGTATGCCTCAAAGAAGGGAGCAGCTTGAAAAATAAAATTGGTTCTGAGTAAGTGGGCAGAGGAAATTTAAATTCCAGAACAGGAAAATTCCTTTGAGCTCCAGCCTCTGAAAAGGAAACTCTTCAGTTCCCAGAGGAAGTTGAAGTCTAACAAACAGGAAGCTATCCCACTCTCCTCCTGAGAGGGTCCCATGTCCATCTAACACCCTGAGAGAAAGGTATTGAAAAGCCTCCGGAAACTTACCAGCACTTCCATCTTCCAGCCTTTGGGTGAGCTGAGAGCTTCAGCAACATGACACAAGATTATGATCTTTAAAAAGCCCCTTATTTTCCCGAGCTATGCACCAAAATATTTACAGTGGATATTATGTATCTGCTTCAAAATAATCCCAGAGCCAGAAGGCAGGAACAATTGGTGGAAGTGTAGATGAAATAAATTGGTCATAAGCTGCTAATTATTGAAGCTGGGAATGAATACACGAAAATCCACATAATCTCTTAGTTTTACATATTCTTTAAATTTTATAATGAAGAGCCGAAACCGGTTTGGCTCAGTGGATAGAGCGTCGGCCTGCGGACTGAAAGGTCCCAGGTTCGATTCCGGTCAAAGGCATGTACATTGGTTGCGGGCACATCCCTGGTAGGGGGTGTGCAAGAGGCAGCTGGTCGATGTTTCTAGCTCTCTATTCCCTCTCTCCTCCTCTCTGTAAAAAATCAATAAAATATATATATTTTAAAAAATTTATAATGAAGAGTTTAAAATGTTTAGAACAAGCCAGGAAAAAAGAACACAAGGTGCTGTGTTTCTCACAGATAAGGTTTACATGACTCAAAAGACTGGGAAATGCTCTAAGTCTAAGGAAAACCCCATGTGATTCAGCCTCCCCCCAGAAGCATTACCTCTAGAGAGCGGATGCTGTTGTGATAGGTGATGGAGAGCATGGAGAGGCTGAGCACTGGAGCAGGGATGTCAGGAGCCTTGCAACAGGGCTGCATCTTCTCTGTCACTGACTTTACCAGTGCAAGCACAAGTCCTTGAATACCCACAGTGGAGGTTTCAGCACTTCCCAGGACAGTCAGTGTGTCTAGTCGGACCTCTGAAGCACCTAACATCCAGAAACCATGCCAGCCTTGATTCTCAGCTCTCTACTGGCAACTTCAGTCCTCACGCTCCTTTGCTATTCTCTTCACTCTAGTTATCTTTATTCCCCACACCTCCCCAACTTCGTTTCTCATGTTTACGGGAAAATTTCCCTTTCCCATCTTAACCTACACATTTGGCAAGGCCAAAGAAGTTCCCTAACTCCTACAAATTGCCAGAAATACAACAGTTACCAATCACACAAGGAAAAAAAGAAAAAAATACTACATGCATCTCATTCTCTTGATTAGACATCAAGGCTCTCTTTTTCTTGTTTAATACTTGCCTTTTATAAGCCCTTAAGAAATACCAAGAAGCCTAATTCTAGTATTTCATCCTCTAATTCAGAAAAAATCCAAATAATAAGCTCCATTAAATTAGAAGAACAGATTGAATCTGCATAATGTGCTTAGGTTATAAACTACCCACTTTGGTATAGACTTCCTGTCCTACTTACCAACGAGGGCAGAAAGGGTGAACAAGTTCATGTCCTCCACCTTCAAGTCCACCTTCCACAGTAATGACACAGACTCCCCAAATGAAGATTCCCTAGACACCGCTGACTTCCCAGATTGTGGGCCCATCAAGGATAAGATCCGAGAGAGACACTGGGCACAGGTGTCTGATGTTTCTACCTGCAGTCCTCGGATGGTACAATCAAGAAAGAGGGTATCCGATTGGGTGCTAGATAGGCTCAGAGGCTGGTTATAGCTACCCTGGAAAAGAAGCAGAGGGACTCCATTAGGAGCATCCAGACACACAGTTCTGTAATGCCCTAATGCATTGCCTGCTGCCAAAAAGGTGCTACATGCTCTAAAGCAGGGCAGGATGAGGAAAGTGCATGGGCCCCTGTTCACCTACCTGTAGTGTGAAAGAGTCCAGGACAAGTGCCTCACCCCAAACATGCATATTGGGTGGGTGTGGTGCCCGCTGAATGTGAGAGTCACTGCCCACCCGCCAGCAGAGGTGGTCCACAGTTAGGATGCCCCGTTGATGGATACTCTGGGGCCGCAGATGCTGATAATCTAAACAAAGAAGGAAGGAGAGAGGCATTCTATGGAGCCACTGTGACCATCAGTTGGGTCCAGGTCTTGTTCCTTTTACATCCCAGAACCTTACCCAGAGAGATGGAATTGAATCCCAAGGCAAAGGGCGGTGTATCTCCGAGCTGAATGGAAATGTTGACATTGGAGATGGAAGTGCTAAAGATGATGGGAGCCAGGATTTGGGGGAAAGTTCTGTATAGGGATAAGACATCATTGTTTGATAAAGGAAGAATTGCAGCTTCCTATCATGGAAGCTCTCAAAAATCAGCATGAGTTTTGTTGTGATTTTTAGGAACGGATGCAACTAGTCAGTTCAGTGTTATTCCCAACAGTTAATCTGCAGGGATGCCAGAAAGATATTAGGTTGAACCATATGAAACTGCCATTTCATAGGTCTTATACGGTGAACATCAGAATATCACAGAATCCAAACTTCTACAACCAAAGAGCATCACTTCCAAACTATTAACCTTAAGTTTTCTATGCAACACAAGGCAAGCACTACACAAAAAAAGATATGGCACTGCTAATATGATTTGACATCTTATCATCTGAGGTAGACAAGATACTGTTCAACATTTAAGTTCAGTTTAGCAAACATTTATTTTGTATAAGGTACTGTGCTAGGTACTGAGGACATAAAAGAAGAAGACATCATCCTTCCATTAAAGAGCCTAATCTAATGGGAAGATATATAAAATAGGATTATTATTGAGACTAGGGCATTGAAACTGAAATTTAGAAAGATCAAACAGTCAAATACGTATTACACATAAGACACCACTTTAAACCAAAATAGTCCATCTGATGAAATGGTAATTGAAAAAGATTGCACTGACCTTTTTTTCCTTTGCTTAAGAACAGATGAACTAGACCCTTGGGTCTCAAGTGCAAGCATTTGCATCCAGTGAGAGAATTCTTGGTGCCGGTAATGAATAATACAAGTGTTCACAGCCAGAGAGGCTGAGAGGTCAATGGTAGTCACCTAAAAAAGAGACCAGAACTATGAACTTGGGTTTTGTCTCATAAGGCAATGATGTAGGAAGAGAACAGAGAAAGGAGTAATTCTTGGTACCACAGTCATCATACCTGCACACTAGCCTTGAGGGAGTTGAGGCAGACAATGCGCTGGCGGCTCTGGGACAGCAACAACCCATCTGTGAGGGCAGAGGATAGATCAGAGAACACTGGGAGCAAAAGGTGAAACTAGGGGAGTGTCAGAGACAGGCAAGGAGTTAAACAGGTTGTCACCAACACTCAAGAGTTGGGGCTATTTTCTCTCAGTATGGTTCCTCCTCCCGCTCCCCACTGATCTCAAATTAAGAAAACCATGGGACAAGGGGCAGAAAAGAGTGTCTGGTCCTCCCATTCTCTCTCAGTACCGGAATCCCCACCCAAACCTTTTAGTAGGAGTTCAGTGCTCATCTGTGCCAAATCAGAGTTTGCTGTGAAGCTACGGAGGGGCAGCTGATCCTCATCACGGTGGTACAGGAAATGCAACAGCTTCAGTGTCCAATTCAGATGCCTGAGCCAGAAACAGACTCTAGCTTAGAAATATGTGGAGTTCCCATTCTCCGCATACACAAGCTCAGTGCAGCTACTTGCTGCATATATACCCTGCATATAACTTCAACTATCACTCTCCACACTTCGGTGGCAGAAGAGATCTCACCTCTTTTGACTATTCATGGACAGCACCACACTTGTGATATCCATTTTCACCTTCACCTGGTCTGGCAGCTGCTGAAGGAGGTAGAGGCCAGGCAGAGTTGGTTCAGCCACATTTTTTGTCACATCTGAAAATATGCAATGAATACAAAAGCCATCAATCCTTAACACCCTCAAGTCTCAAAAAATGCCCTGTCCTCTTTGACCAAAAGCTCCTATATAAAATAGACTAGCCAAATGCCCAATCTTAGGTTAAAAGGCAAATATCCCAGAGATTCAGGAACGTGCTGTAATTCGTTCCCCAAAGTCTAAAAAATAGTATGATTTTTAAATAAAAATAGATTAGTATAATAGAAAGACTATGGACTTAGGGTTAAATAATTTAAACCCCATGTTTAATATCAGTTAGCTGTGTGACCTGCCAAAATACCTGTCTAGGGGCTCTCCCTCTCAGGAGCATGCCCTAGTCCACATGTGTCAAACACAAGGCCCTCGGGCCAAATCCGTCCCGCCAGGCCTTGCAATGTGGCCCGCACCGCGCTGTCATCACTGCACTCCGCTGCATTTCCATCACAATGACAGTTTATGACTGTTCAGTAAACCATTCAGCCTGCGATTTAGGCTGGATTTTAGATTTTGGCCCCTTCTCTGATTGAGTTCGACACCCCTACTAGTTTTTCCCCTTCTCTCTCCTAAGCTCCAAGGACCCCCAATTTTGCCTCTGTAATTTGTTTCCTGAGCCCATTTCTAATACCTCTGTGATTTTCTAAATAAACTTTCTCTTATAATTTAGAAATCTTCCTAGGCTTCAGTGTTCTCATTGGTGCAATGCTGAAGATTTAGTGAGAGAACATTTATAAAGCACATAGTACAGATCTAATCCTATAAAGAGGTGATATGCAAATTGACCATCATGTCCTCATAAGATGGCTGCCTACGACCAGGCTGGCAGGGGGGTTAGTGAGGGACAAACAAAGACTGAACAAGCAGGCTACATGGAGCGACCAGGCCAGCAGGGGGGTTAGTGAGGGACAACTAAACAACTGAACAAGCAGGCTGCATGGGGCAACCTGGTAGGCAGGAGGGCTGTGAGAGGCGACCAGACCAGCAGGGGGGACAGTAAGGGGTGCCAGGCCAGCGCAGTGCGGGGGAGGGACAAGAGAGGCTGTTAGGGGCAATTGGGCAGGCAGGCAGATGAGCGATTATGAGCCAGTGGTCCAGGATTGCGAGGGGTCCTGGAATGAAGAGGGTGCAGGCTGGGCTGAGAGAACCCCCCCCCCCATGCACGAATTTTGTGCACCGGTCCTCTAGTTTATGATAATTACCCACTAAACATTGGTTCTTTTACCCACCACAAGCAAATGTCCTATTTCCTCTATCCTCAGGATCCAAGGCCAAGGTGACTAACAAATCACACCTAAATGAGCAGTGATACCACTATTTTATTCTACTTCCAAAATAACCTGAGAACAGGACAGCCAAGAAGCTCACTGACTGGGGCTTTACCTGAACCGGGAATAGGCTTAGGGGCCAGGCTTGAGCCCTGCTGCAGCAGCTGACTATGGAAGAGGCCCTCGTGCAGCTCAGCATGGAGTGTCCACACATCCACATTAATTGCCTTCAGTTGCCGACTCCCGATGCCCACCTCTAGACACAGCTTTAGAGCCAGGGAGAGCTCTGCTAGGCAGGTGTCCTCCTGCAGAAAGAATAAGCTGCTAAGGTATATATGTATAGAGTCTGGGAGTTTGGGGTCAAAAACTCAGTGGTCTGGAATACTACCTTGAGAGAAGCCCATAAGGACACAGAATCTATGGGGTAAGCCCTAAGCTCCTTCTTATGACCAGAAGGAAACAAAGCATCTGAAGGACCATGGCATACTCACCAGCTGGCCACTCTTTAGAACTTTGCTGTTGATCTGACTTAGGCTCACTTCACATTTTAGCCTGAGAAAGGGGGTAAGAAAAAAAAAAAAAATTAAAAGCACTAGGCCCCTTTCCTCACCATTTACCTTCAATCAAGCTTTGTTGGCTGGAAGGAACAAGGCAAGCAGAAGTGCCTAATCTCAGCCTCTCCTCAAGTTGCACAGAATAAGAACTTGACACTTTGATAAGGCTCAGGCATCCACACCCTCCTCCCCCGAAACAACTGTAAGGCAAGAATGGGCCTACTAGACCCTTTTTTACCCAGACTTTACCTTTTCCCATCACTATCCAAAAGAAAGCTGCTTTCTCTGATCTGAACGTGCCACAGGGACTCAGAGGTAGCTACCTTGAGAACCATGATGTTTATAGAATCTACATGAATGGAGAATAGCTGGAAGGAAGGAACAAAGAACAGTAATTAATGTCAAGGCACTTCCCCTTCTTTCTAACAGGAGGAGAAGAAGAGACAGCTCTTAGTATCATGCCCCCCAAGAGTAGAAAAACCCACCCATGATTCCAAAGCCAGTCATTCCCAACACAGTCCACGAAAAAGGGAGAAGTCGTCTCACCTGGCAGATGATCTTCAATAAGGCTGGGCTGAAGGGCAGCTCTTTTGGTTGCACTCCTGTGCTCTGGGAGAATGGAGCACACAGGCCAGAAACCTTCTGGAGGTCAGTTCTGATACGCACTTCTCCAAAGCACAATGCCACATAGCGCCTGCCCAGAAGAGAAACCTCACTGCCATCGGGCCCATCCCTTCCATAGCAGTCTCTTCCCCTCCCTCACAGTCACTCTCCCATCCTCCCTAAAAATGCAGCTCAAAAGAAAAAAAAAAAATGTAACTCAAATCTCAAATCTGGAGGATAGTCTCATAGTAGTTATCAATATCTGTCTCACTAGAGATAATAGCTTCCAGGAGACATCAAGCCAAGAACCCACTTCCCTTCTTTGAGGCCTTTGTAGAAGAATCCCATTCTACAATACAAACCCCAATCCCAAAGACTCCCCAAAGGAAGAGCGAGGCTATAGGGTACTCACGGCAGATCATGGCTAAGGAGTTTGCTGGAGATCCACAGGCTATCAATTTCCTAAAACATGGAAGAAAGGTTTGTACATGAGCTGCTAGGTAAGACATGAGCAGCTTGACACGTCAGGAAAGGTTCTAAGAAGAGACGGAAGTAGCCCTTCCACTAATTATTCTCCATCCATTTCTACTGGCTTCTCTCCGCCACACTATATCCTGCTCCTCACAGGGATGTTTGTATTTCTCTTGTATGGACAGACTACCCTGTTTCCCCTCTTAAATTAGAAGCTCTTTTATTTCCTGTTATCTTTGTTCTGTGCTTTTACCTTTGTATCGTTCTTATGTGCCCTGGACACTGTGCCTAAGAAGCATTTTTAACCGAAAAACATACATCAATCCCAGCATTCCCAAACAAAGATCATCTTGGCAAAGGGGTGACAAGACTGAGACAACTAGGGAAGCCACCCAGAATTAAAAAGAAACAAGTTGAAATTAAGCTGGATCAACACCTCCCTACCCAGGGAATTCCGCAGGACTCACCACTGTTTGCTGGTGCTGCTGAAACTTAAGACTGACATTCTGGATCCAAAAAAAGGAGCCAATCTTTAGCTCTGCCTGCAGCTTCCGCTGACACCACTTGGTGACCAACCGGACCACAAGCCACCTGCAGAGAAATCCCTGAGTTCACTGGACCCTCTCCCAATGATGGCGTCCCTTACCCCTCGCTGATCCTAGAAGCCCTTGCAAAGGGTCAAATCCAGAAGCTGAGTCTTCTGGGCAACTCTCCAGCCTTCCAGAACACTGCTCTATCATGCACACTGAGCCACAGTGATCAGAACTGTAGCCCCAGACGTGATCATACAAATTAAACTCCACCTTCTGAGTTGGAGACTAAGAAAGCAACCCCCCAAATCTTTAGGAACCCCAAAGGTAGAGTCGGAAGTACTGGCAGCCCAGTCAGATGTGCCATCACATACTCCCCAAAGGGTCTCTGTCTTCGCCCTGCAGGCAGATGTCCGCAAGAAGGCACTGTGGGGTCACTCCGGGCCAGCTCAAAGGCTGCTCTCCCAGGGCGGTCAGACCTGTTCTGGCTCCCCGGGGCGAGGCTGCAGGTGCCTCTGCGTCCGTTGGAAGGGGCGCTCCGGGGCGTGTGGAGGGGTCCAGGGAGACCACGAGCCGGCCCCCCTCCTCACACACTCCCACCCCGATTCAGCTCCCAGCCTCGGCATGTCCTCAGGCCTCGCCGATCCCTGAGTCTTCCTCAATCCCAGCGGCTCCTCACCAGCTCCGACCCCGCGCCCCCTCCCTCGTCGCCGCCCGCCATAGCCCGCGCCCGGTCCCCTCTAGCCCTCTCCTCCCTCGGTCTCCCCCTCCCGCGCGCCCCCTCCTAAGTCTCTTCCTCCCACTCCCACCCCCCGCCCCGCCGAAGCCGGGATCCTCCCTCACCGGCCTAGGAAGAGGGTGAACAGAGCGACCAAGAGTAAGGCCAACAGCGCGGCGAAGAACAGGGGCATTACGGCCCCGGCCCTGGCCCTGGCCCCGGCCCCGGCCCGGCCTGGCTCCGGCCCCCGCCCAGCCGGGCCCCGCCTCCGGCTCCCGCAGCTCCGCCGCGGGCCGACCAGCTGCGCGCCCGGGACGGCACGGGACCAGGAAGCGTTGGCGCGCGTGCGCCCCGCCCCTCGCGGCCGGCCAGCCAGCGGCGGGCCCGTTACCCCGCCCCGTGCGCGCTCCCCGGCAGGGCCGACCGGCTGCAAGCCCGAAGTATAGGCGTGGCCGGGAGAGGGAGCGCCGGCACGGACCTCGTGGGGACTGACGCAAACGCCCCGCCCCACCCCGGGCGCACCCTTCGGTGCCCGGAAACGCGGAGCGGCGGACTTGCTTGGGGTCGGAGTCTGAACGGTTCCCGGGTTTGCAGTGGGTCTGGCCGGCGGCAGAGTTCCATTTACAAAGCACTCTCCTTGTGATAGTTACAGAGTTGGCTTGACCATTTAGGGTCTGGACCGAGCGAGGACACTGCAGAAGTGACACCCCTGAGTCAGACGAAGTTAGCTCTCCTGTCTTATTCAAGAGCCTTGTCTGAAAATCATTGAGAAAACCAAGAGGTAATTAATTATAAGGCCTCAAAGGAATGTGTTTAATTCACTAAGGAATGACTTTTTAATTCGTTCATTGTATGAATACTTCTCTAGTCAGTTAATTCAGGGTGTCCCCAGCCCTAGCAGGTGTGGTTCAATGGTTGGAGCGTGGGCCCTCATAGGAAAGTCCCGGTTCGATTCCTGGTCAAGGGCACCTACCTGGGTTAGGGTTCCATCCCGCCCCAGTCAGGGGGCCAACGGGGGGCAACCAATGAATGTGTCTTTCTCTCGCATTGATATTTCTCCCGTGCACTCTCTCTGAAAATCAATATGTAAAATATCGGATGTCTCAAAAAAAATGTATACACACTTTGAATGATTATGTCAGTGTTTATTAACATACAGTTCATTTTCAAAATTTAAAAGAACCCTCAGAAATGAATAGTTTTTTTTGTCAATGCCTTTTTGCAAACTGATGACTGTTCCAGGCCAGGTACTGATAACACAAAGCAATAGGATTTCAAACATCAAGAATCATTTCCTGCCCTAATTGGTTTGGCTCAATGGATAGAGCGTCGGCCTGCTGATTGAGGGGTCCCAGGTTCTATTCCAGTCAAGGGCACATGCCAGGGTTGTGGGCTCAACCCCCAGTAGGGGGCGTGCAGGAGGCAGTCAATCCATGATTCTCTCTCATTGATGTTTCTCTCTCGCTCTCCCTCTTCCTTCCTCTCTGAAATCAACAAAAATAGCCGGGACCGGTTTGGCTCAATGGATAGAGCGTCGGCTTGGGGACTGAAAGGTCCAGGGTTCGATTCCGGTCAAGGGCATGTACCTTGGTTGCGGGCATATCCCCAGTAGGGGGTGTGCAAGAGGCAGCTGATCAATGACTCTCTATCATTGATGTTTCTAGCTCTCTATCTCTCTCCCTTCCTCTCTGTACAAAATCAATAAAATATATAAAATATATATATATATATATATATATATATATATATATATATATATATATACATTTTTTAAAGAATCATTTCCTTTGGTATTTGTGCACCCTCAAGTCATCAACTATTGCCAGGTTTTATATGGTAAACTTTATATTTTATGTATCTCCATGGAAAGAAGTCTAATGGCTGGGGGTGGGGGGACGACAATATAAGATATGTACACATATAATGCCTTAATTAAAAAGGGCGGGGGGAGAAAAAAGTCTAATGGCACTTTAGGATAAATTTTCTTTGTTCAAAACTTAGTCTGGCATCACCCATTATTTCAAATCAGTTCAATTTGAAAAGGAGTCAAAATTAAGTGATTTATCAGCTATTAGAGTGTATATTTTTTTTTTGGGACACCCTATATGTATTGACCTGTTGGAGCAGTACAATTCTGAACTCTTCGTTGGAAGGTTTTGTTTTTCATTTTTAGAGAGGGAGAAAGAAACATTGATGTGTGATGTGTGAAACATCCATAGACCTTCTGCACACCCCCTACTTGTGTCTGAACGAGCATCACTGGCATGCCCTGACCCAGAACCCAAACGGCCAGGGCTGTAGTTTTCAATGTCTACTGTGCATAGTGCAATCTGGGTACATTTGGGGTGGGGTGAGGAAGTAGAGGATATTGTTCTTGCCCTGAGGTCAACTTTACTTTGTCTGTTTCCTTATCTATAAAATGAGGGAATTGGACAAAGTCTTTTCCAACTCTATTACAGTGATGCTAATACAGTACAAGCTGAAGAAATTCTGGGGATTTCAAAATAAGTACTTCACAAACCTTTGCTCTCACATGCTAATCTCCATAAATGTCCTCCAATATTTTAATCGAGACTCTTCCATTCCTTCAGATAAAGCACCATTTCAACTTCCACCTGGGTTGCCCCAAGTTACTTTTACTACTCCACCTGGTTTCCTTCCTAATCTAGTCCTCTCTTCACTAATTTCACACCTTCCCCAGGGCTCCACCGCTGTGCTGTTACTTTATAGTTCATACGTATCCCTCAAGGACTATCGTTCTGCCTTTCTCCTTATAACCTGCAGCCTCCCATCAGGGTACGTTTTGTCTGTGAACCTTTAGGGAAGACTCAACGACTCAGTGAAAACTTTGTCCAAGCCAAGAGGGGTACTTTGCAACACAGCTCCCTACTCTCATTCATCTTGTCCATTCTGTTCCCTTTAGTCAGCTGATTTCCAACATTTCTTTTTCTTCCCAGACTCTTAACATTCTTCTCCCAATCACCTCAGTAGCCTGAAATGTTGATTTTATCATTTGTCTACTTTCGGGAGAGCTCTAAGGGATCAATGCAATTGAATCTGAATAGGGGGGAGTGGATGTAAATAATGCTCAACTGGTTTATGGTCTCAATGACACAAGTCCTTGCAAAGAAATCGTGTCTTATAAATCCATGTCTAGCACAGATCTATACAGGTGTCCCCAGCTATCTGAAAGTAGAGTGTACCTATGAAACCTTTCATAAACTGAAATGGCGCAAACTAGCCACTGCTTTCCAAAAATTTCTCATTAGTTTTTTTTTTTTAATTGATTTCAAAGAGGAAGAGGGAGAGAAACATCAATGAGAATCATTGATCAGCTGCCTCCTGCACGCCACCTACTGGGGACCAAATCACATCGCAGGGCTATTATTACCTATTTTCACTAACCAAAATGATGAAAAGTCATCACTTATTAATGTGGGCCTTTGTAAAAGGAAAGTAGTGTATAACAGGGACTTTTGGAGATGTTTTCTACCTTAACTCCCCAACAAAACAAGGAGAAAAAAATCTGAAAGTTTCTAAAAATAAAAAGGCCTGCTAGTCACTAAATTCTAGTAGATGGCAGAAACCCATGTTTACCACTGCATGCTTGAAGGACAGGAGCAAATTTTCTGGAATTCACCAGCAGAGGAAAGGAAAAAGAGATGAGCAGAGGACAAAAATTTTCTACCCACCTTTTCAGAGAAAGATATCCCTACATTTGTCCCCAAAAGAGTAGTTATTACCAAGAGCTAACATAATTGTAGTGTAGTAAAAAGAACTCAGTGGAGCTGTCAGCCTGTACCAGGCGTCTTCAAAATACGGCCCGCGGGCCACATGCGGCCCGCAGAGGAGTCTGATCCAGCCCGCCAGGTTTTTGGGGCAGTGAGCGCAGCCGAGGTGTTACAGTAGGAATTAGTAGTTCATATAGTCCGGCCCTCCAGCTCTCTGAGGGACCGTGATCTGGCCCCCACTTTAAAAAGTTTGAGGACGCCTGCGTGTAGACTGAAGGCTTCTGGTCAAGGTCACATGCCTAAGTTGTTGGCTCAGTCCCCAGTAGGGGGCATGCAGGAGGCAGCCAATCAGTGACTCTCATCATTGATGTTTCTGTCTCTCTCCTTTCCTCTCTGAAATCAATAAAAATATATTTAAGATAAATAAAAATAAAAGCAATGGAATAACTTGCCTCACAAAATAAAGACCTATTAAAAAAATTAATCAGATCATGAAATAGCACACCTAATAAATGACAACACAGTGGCTAACAATGAAATTCTTTTTTTATCATTGGAGAAAGCAAGCAGGGGAAAAGTCACACATATTAATAATCCACAATGCCAAGTTTTTGAAGAGTAAAAATTTCCCAGCTGGGAAGGATGGCTCCCTTGGTTTCTGTTTTATCAGTAGGAATTACAAACACCTGCTCCTTCACCAACAAGTCTTGTACTCAAAAAAGAACAGATCCAAGTCTGAGAGAACAACCATTTCAACTGTAAAAGGCTGAAGCCTCCAAACACAGTCACTGTTTTCTGCCGACCATCTTCATCTCGTGGTGACATGGCCAATGCCGGGAGACCTGTGTCAGGCGTCCCCGGGCGAAGCAGCAGCAGATGTCTATGAACACTGTGTGGTGACAGCGGCTCACAGCCTCCAGACTCATAGCTCCACATGGTGGGCTTCTGCCTTCAACAACTCACTGGGTTTCATGAAGATGCCTTCCATGGCTTTCCAGTAGTTGTTCGGGCTTGACTGAGCCATGCCATGCACCTCTTTTTGCCCACTGATGGGCCGGCCATATTGTTCTCCAGTGACAGACAGCAGGACCTCGGTGGAAGAATGCTTGAACCGCACCTCATCATCCCTCACCCAGTAGGGCCCGTTACAGAGCACTGTCCAGTCATCCAGATAATCACCTTCACCTTCTTCACCAAAAGCACTCACTTCCTAGAAGACACAGATGGTGCCAATGTTAGCATGGCTGACACATAGACTTGAAAAGGGGAGATAGGCAATAGGAAGAAAAATAAGGCTACCCAAAAGTGAAAAATAAGAGGCTTTTCAGGGTTGTTTAGAAGTAAATAAATAATTTAAACTGTGGAAAAAAGATAAGACATAAAGAACACAAAAGCAGTTGCCATAAGATTATGATCCAAACACTAATTTTACAAGTAACTCGTTATTTGCCTTATATTTTCTATTATAGTCTTAAAATACTTTATAGCTCTTGTCATTTGACTTGAAATATTCCTGCCTTATCCCCTTAACTAGATTTTAAATGACCTGGTGAGAAACAAGCTGGAGACCAGCAGACCCTGAATGTCAGCTGTATCCCTTGCTATGCAATTCCTCTTCTATAAAATGATAACAATATCACCTTACAGAATAATTATAAGAATTAAACAAAATAAGAAATATTGAGCAAATTATAGCATATTCTATCTTCTACTCCTAATCTCATCCCCCTTAGGGAGAAATATTCAGAGTTTTTATCACAATAAAAAAGTTAAATTAATTCAGAAATGTATAATTTAAATATACACTGCTAGCTATATAATGTAAAATGATAAAAAGCAGTCAGACTAAGACTAAAGCGAAGGGAACTGCACAAAATGAACAATTCTACTATGTATGTATACTAGAAGTGAATGAGTAGGTGAATGGATGACAGTGGAGCCAGATATCTCACTGTTAGAATGTGACTTCACAAAGAGAGGAGACTAGAATGATCTATGCGGTAATGGATTCGAGTTGAAGACATGATTAAGAACTCACGTCTAAGTTAATATATTAGTACATACATATAAACACCCATAAGTCCATACTGATATAAACAAAATATTAAATAAGTAAAAAGAGATGAATGTCCCATACAGAAGAATTCCAAATAAATCATGTAGCTACTCCTTCCTGAAGGAGGGGAAGCACAGGTGCTCTCCTTCTGGGGAGCAAACCCGTGCCTTTCCCTCCCCCTAATCCTTCCCCCAGGCGTGTTACCCTTCCCTTTCTCTCTCCTAAGCTGTAGGTCTCTTCTATTGCCTCTGAAACTTGTTTCCGCAGCCCATTTCTTTTCTTTTCTTTTTAAATATATTTTATTGATTTTTCACAGAGAGGGAAACAGAGAGCTAGAAACCTCGATGAGAGAGAATCATCGACCAGCTGCCTCCTGCACACCCCCCACCGGGGATGTGCGCGCAACCAATGTACATGCCCCTGACCAGAATCGAACCTGGGACCTTTTAGTCCACAGACCGACGCTCTACCACTGAGCCAAACCGGCTTCGGCTCAGCCCATTTCTTTCACAGCTCACTTCTTCTACCTCTGTGACTTTCTACATAAGCTTTCTCTTACAGTTAAAAAAAAAAAAAAAAAAAGGAGTGCATAAGAGCATAACTTCCCATTCTTAAGTGTGGGCTGTGCAAGACTTTAATTTCTAGAGTACAGTATGGACAGCAGGAAAAGGAAGAGTAATTTTACAGGAGAAACCTGTCAAACACTAATTCAGTAATCAGTATCAACAGTCATAAATTATGTAGATAGTATATATATCCTTACTATGATGTGATGAAAATGGCACTTTATCTGTGATCTTTCTCTGAAAAACCTTTATAAATCCAGTCTAATCTTAAGAAAAACATCAAATTTCTATAAAGGAGTACCCTATAATATACCTAGCCAGCCCTCCTCAAAACTGTCAAAGTAATCAAAAACAAGAAGAACCTGAGAACTGTCACAGCCAAGAGGAGCTTAAGGAGATGTGACAACTAAATGTAACGTGATGTCCTGGATGGGATCCTGGAACAGAGAAAGGATAGCAGTAAAAATTAACAAGAACGGAACAACCTATGGACTTTAGTTGATAACAATGTAACAATATTATCAATTAACTGTCCAGTCATCCAGATAATCACCAGCAAATCTACCATACTAAGTTAATAGAGAAAACTATGTACAGAGTGAGAGTGGGAAGCAGTCATTAAAGGGTCCCACAACCGCCAAAACCGGTTTGGCTCAGTGGATAGAGCGTCGGCCTGTGGACTAAAAGGTCCCAGGTTCGATTCCAGTCAAGGGCATGTATTGTACATTGGTTGCAGGCACATCCCCCATAGGGGGTGTGCAGGAGGCAGCTGGTCGATGTATCTCTCTCATCGATGTTTCTAGCTCTCTATCCCTCTCTCTTCCTCTCTGTAAAATATCAAAAAAATATATTTTTAAAAAAAAGGGTCCCACAATCCCCAAAAGCTATCTAAATCCTACAATGAAGAAACATATTGGTTTCCAAACTTGCAATAAAAATTATTATTATTGTAATGATGCTGACTATGTTTAGAAAATGAATTAGGTATTATGCCATTTTTTTAAGCCGTGAGCTAATATATATCTATTCTGTCTTTCCTCCTCATTCGGTCTAGATGTAAAGTCTCCAGGAAACAATTTCTTTCACATGTATGAGACAAAGCCAATTCTCCAGGTTTGTACAAAAAAGAACGTCTGCCCGGCTGGTGTGCTCAGTGGCTGAGCATCAACCCATGAACCAGGATCCTGGTCGTGGTTTGATTTCCGGCCAGGGCATGTGCCCAGGTTGTGGGCTCTATCCCCAGTTGGTGACGTGCAGGAGGCAGCTGATCAATGGTTCTCTTATTTTCACTGATGTTTCTATCCCTCTCTCCCTTTCCCTTCCTCTCTGAAATCAACCAAAAAACATTTATTTTTAAAAAGAGAGAACATCTACACCTGGAAAAGAAATGACTAAGAATGAAGATATCAAACGACTCAACTGAGTAAACACAAAACAGCAATGACCCACAGGATGCCACTTACCTGGTTTCCAGAAAGAGGTGAGGTGAAGTGGTGACTATGGAGGTTTCGGCCAGTGTTGACATGTGTCAGCCGAATGGGCTGGCCACATCTGATGGGTGTTCCCCTCTCACAAACTGTGGAGGTCTTCCCGCGTATCCTCCAGTAACTGTTGCTGTCATCCACAGAAGTTACACCTGTCACTGACTGCTGCCCACTACCTGCAACCAAAAAAAGAAAAAGAAAAAAGAAAAAAAAAAAA